ATTTTTACTTTACTGGTTTACTTCCTAAGTGTCGTGTTACAGTTTTAGACCTTATGTGATAGAAAATGATTAACCAGTTGGATCCAGGACACTATCACAAGAATTCAGACCAATGGGTTTAATGCATGCATGGGAAAACTACATTAGAGCATAAAGAAGTATGACAGGATGATGTGGCCACAGATGATGGAATGCTACCTACAAAGTTTGAAACAATCAATGGGTAAAGTCTCCTTAATACCTATCTGGATCACCACCACACACTTCCTGTTCTTGACTGATTGATCTTAATTTTGTAGTTTTTCTCTTTAGAACTGTGACAGACTACATCCCTTCCATTTAAAGTACAGATTTTGGTAATGCGTTACAAGCATTACTGGAACACTGGTGCAAATTTGGATCAGCAAACAAAATATGAGAAATATCTCAGAGTGATTTAATTTCATATTTTGACGTGGAAGATTCTTATACCTTCAGAAGAAAGCACATCAAATCCTGTATTTTAGCATGAAACTCCATGATGTATGGAAAATACATACTAAGGACTATTAAGCACAGCTGCTCCCAATCCTTGCTAAATGCCATTTGCCAATAGCACAGGCTAGTGTATGGGTACTTCTTCAACAATCTGGTCACAATCTGTACTGGCATCAGGTACAAGCAAGACAAAGGATGGGCATGGGAGTTTCCATTCATACTCCTAGGTCTATAAATGCTCTAGATTCTAGCTTAGAGAAGGATTACTTTTGTGAATTTCTCCAATAATAGTCAAAATTGCTGTTTGATCTTGGAAGAAAATTATGTAGAAATATTATTTGTGTGTATATTTCCTTTTAATTTTCCAGTCATTAGGGCTAGATGAAACATCCTAATGACCCAGTAAAGATTACACCCATCAGCATCTATAGGAGAGTGCAATCACCAAATCCAAGAATGTATCAGAAAAATCATCCACCATGATCAAGTAGGCTTCATCCCTGGGATGCAGGGTTGGTTCAACATTTGAAAATGTATCAATGTAATAAACCATATAAACCAACTGAAGAAGAAAAACCACATGATTATCTCACTAGATGCTGAAAAAACCTTTGAAAAAATCCAAAATTGCCTCATGATATAGTTCCTAGAGAGATCAGTAATAACAGGAACATACCTGAACATAATTTAAAAAATAGAGTAAGCCAACAGCCAACATCAAATTAAATGGAGAGAAACTCAAAGCTATTTCTCTAAAATCAGGAACAAGACAATGCTGTTCACTCTCTCCATATCTCTTCAATATTGTCTTGAAGTTCTAGCTAGGGCAATAAGACAACAAAAGGATATTCGGGGGATACAAATTTGAAAGGAAGAAGTCAAACACTCACTGCTTGCACATGATATGATAGTATACATAAGTGACCTGAAAAACTCTACCAGGGAACTCCTATGGCTAACAAGTATCTTCAGCAAAGAGGCAGGATACAAGATTAACTCAAAAAAATCAGTAGCCCTACTATAAATGGATGACAAATGTGCTGAGAGAGAAATCAGAGAAACAACACACTTTATAATTACCACAAACAACATAAAATACTTTGGGGTAACCCTAACCAAAAAGTGCAACACCTGTATCATAAGAATTTTGAGTCTTTAAAGAAAGAAATTAAAGAAGATACCAGAAAATGGAGGATATTCCATGTTTTTGGAAAGGTAGGATCAACACAGTAAAAATGGCAATCTTGCCAAAAGCAATCTGCAAATTCAAAGCAATCCCCATAAAAATCCCAGCACAATTCTTCACAGACCTTGCGAAAAAAATTTTCAACTTTATATGGAAAAACAAAAGACCCAGGATAGCCAAAACAACCCTGTACAATAAAAGAACTTCTGGAGGCATCACCATACCTGATTTCCAGCTCTATTATAGAGCTATAGTCTTGAAAACAGCACAAAAATAGACAGATAGACAAATGGAATAGACTTGAAAACCCTGATATTAATTGGAATACCTATGAACACCTGATTTTTGATAAAGAAGCCAAAGCTATACTATGGAATAAGGAAAGCATCTTCAACAAATGTTGCTGGCATAACTGGATGCTGGGTTGGAGAAGAATGCAGATAGATCCATGTCTACTGCCATGCACAAAACTTAAGTCCAAATGTATGAAAGACCTCAACATAAACCCACCCACCCTGAACTTATTAGAAGAGAAAGAGGG